ACAAGCCCTCCCAAATTGAGCACGTTGATAAGTTATTGCACTTGCTGAATAGGTTTTATTTTCGCGATTGAATTTATGTAAAAGCTTTCGTACTTCATGAATATGGAGGCGTCTAAAATAAAAGCTAGTGTTAGCGACTGTGCTTTTAACGAATTTAAGCTTACCTTTTGGGAGAATTTAAGGATACAGTTCATAAAACGTATTTAGATTTGTGACGTCGGCAAGATCTGAGGACGGTGGTTGCAATGCTATTTATTTATACGGCGACTAAAAAATAGTTCAGTTAAAAATCTTCGGTTGCAAAGTTCGGTTCTTAGCCGGTGAAACCGAATTTTGATCACTTGAACTTCGTTGACTATAAGGCTAATAGTTAATGTAGTTAAATAAGGATGATATCATTATAAATGTCTTATAAAAAAATTGTCCAGTCTATACTAGACAATTTTTTTATACTATAATGGGAGTTGCATACACTTCGAATTACCTAGTTCCAGTCTTCTGAATATACGAATATTATAAAGCTGAAGAGTTTGTTTATTTCTTCTACTAGTTCGAATAGAGTTTTTTTGTGTTGGTTGGACCATTTATCGACTAAGGCTTTTGGGCTATAAAACAACAGGCTGCGGCCAATAAAAGCGAAAAAAACAGAGAGAAATGTGGAAAAATAGGGAACATTATTCCTCGGCAATTCGACGATTCAAAATACCAAAAATCTATATATGAAAGAATGATTCTCTTTTAATGATTTAAGAAAATGTCGCAGCAAGAACGGCGGTACGTAGACGATGTCGTGGGTAGTTATAAAATAAATAATACCTCGAAGATCATGATCCAAAAAATCGGATGAAATTCGGTTCCGGTTAGACTCGAATAATATCGCTGTTAAAATCAAAGCAATATTCGCTGGTTTTAATACCATTACTAAATAGTAAAACTTTAATTTAACTGTGAAAGTATTTTCGGATGCGACTTAACAGTCGTCGTTCTCTTTGTGAGGGGATTACGCTACGATTTGTGGTTATGTGGTCTTCCCAAACATACTCCTCTTTGACCGTTACTAAAAGTTTAGATTCAAAAACAAGAGATAAGCTTAATACATTTCGGATACAATACGATAGGAATAACTGGCCCATTTTATGATAGAGGAGATATAATTTTGTCTACCCGTGACCTGCTACTGTAAATTATCCGAAACGTCGGGCTATAGTTAAAATTACGAATTTTAATCCGTTAAAAGTGTTTTATTTAAATGTTTACTTCACGCGAAAACTACAGACAATTCTTCAGTAATGTATGCAATGAGTTAAATGCACACTGAACGCGATTTACGGTTTGTTTTAAGCAAGTGGGCCGTTTAGGACCCACGATATATTATTCCGGAATCTTTCAAGATAGTTTGGCAAGCTTTGCAAATGGTCAATTAAAATAGTTAGTGTCGGTTAATAAATCTGTCTTTATCCTTAACTGTTCGCAAATGTCATAGAAATTTATAATTAACTCCGCGTTGTTTACTGCAATTTTATTACGTACCGGTTAAAATTCACGAACAAAGATGAAATGATTGATATTTTCGTAAATGTTTTACAACTATGCTTTTCACATTGATGTATACAAGTACCTTCAGGTAGCTATTATGAGTTTTACCCAACGACGGTAGACAAAATAGGGATAATGATTTTGCCTGTCACTGTTTGTTCTACTTTTTAGAATCCGATATATTAAACGATTCGGTATAACGACGGAAGTAACGTACTTAAAAAAAGCAATGTTTAAACCTGAATATCTGTCCGTGAATAAATCAAATTTAATCAGTCTCTATTTTTAGGTTAATGTTAAAAAAAATACTATTTCTAAAACAAATAAAAATTGATATTACATCTCATGGTCTAAAAAATAGCCATTAGTTAAATTGTTATTGAACCAAGAATAAAGTTAAGGATAAATGTATAGAAATAGTAACAATAGTGATTGTTACCTCAAATGGATTCATAATATAGCTGATTTAGATTCATGATATATTTATGAATAATTCACATAAAGTATGGGGTAGGATAACGTTTTACATTTTGTTTATCAAGTCTCAGTTTTTTTATGTACAGATTGGGCTGTAGTAAGGTTTTGTATATGTCTATCATAAAAAACTATCGAACATCTTCTTATAGAGAGGTTATATAAATATGTGCTTTGTTAAGCAAGTCTTCAATCAACGAAACACATGGAGTAACCAAACTAAACAAAGTTGGTGAGGCCAGAGGTGATGGTAAAAAGCAATATTAAGGCTACCACGTTATTAATGTAACAATGACAACTACTTCAATTACCACAATCCTAATGTTGTAATATTGACAATTAGGACATCAAAGTTAATTTTATAATTATAGCTTTGGGGCTACAAATATAAAAAAGGGAAAAACATATATGAATAAAGATTTATCAAAAAAAAATATCGTAAACTTAATTCTTTTATCTGTCCTGGCTGTCAATTAATTGTACTTTTTATTATTTATTTGTATTTATTATAATTTAATTACATTCAACGTTTTGTCAGTGAAACCAAATGAACTCAAATTCAATAAACATTCTTTTGAATTTGAGTTTTAACTTATTGAGAGTATTTATAATAATTAGTAGTTATTATAGGCATATTCTTGAGTGTATTTCTGTAACGCTAAGTCGGACAACGTAAATCTTTGAGCCGGCGTGTCAATGATACGTCAGGCGCGCGAAGTGAGCCAGATAATGGCTTCAACCTTTTGTCTAACTGAACAAAACTGCTTCTCGAAGCAAATAATGCGTTAGCTCTCTGCCACCATGAATATTATAGTTATGTTCTAGAAAGGTTAACGCCTAACCTCACTACATCCTCGTAGAATTTTAATAATTCATTTCAACTGTACTTTGCTAGTCTTCAGTAACGCTCGTTTCTTTAATAGCTTTGTTGTTTCTTGTGGGACTAAATGCTGTTCTTCGAATTGGTTAGATTTACTGAACGTGTGTTTAAGTTTATAACGTCATGTGTCTATATTTTTCAGTCAAATTATTTTCAATCTATACTAATGTATAGATATGAAGAAATGTTTGCTTGTTTTAATGCGCTACTCTCATAGATCGAATTGTAAAATTCTTTTGATACCTTTTTTTTAAATTTCATAAGCATCAGACTGCGACCAATAGGATGAAAGAAAAAATGGAAAATTATTCAACCTTGGGAGCTTCCGTTGCGTGCGCTGCGAAAAAGTTCAAAAAAACCAAAAAGAATGAAAAGAATGAAAGAAGAAGAAAGAAGAGAATGATTCCTCTTTGAACGATCTAAACTAAAAAATGTCCGCGACAATGTCCGTTTTTATGATAAATTATTAAAGGTAAAATGTATAAAAATAATTATTAGAGATAACTAAATGAACATCTCATCTAATTGTGTAAACTATATTTAATATTTAAACGTTTATTTTACCCTCATTTCCATATTTACATCATTAACTGTTTAACATAGGATTTTAGATGCGGAATTGTAATAATTATCTTATCAGAGGCATACCTGTGTGTACGGGAACGTCACTAGAGTTCATTGTGCTGTATAAATTATTTAATTTGTAATTTTACAAAGCTAAATATATTGTCTTCATAAATTTGATTAAAACGACGAAAACTATTAAACAGTCGCATTTTTCATCTCAGTATAAAGATCTACCCACGTCGAACGTTTTACGTTAAAAAGTCGTAAAGCGTAACGCACATTGATTCCATTTTATGATAATATTTTGACGTCTTTCATAATTTATGCCCGTCTTATCTAAGTTTAAGACTGAACATAATTAATGCAACATAAAGAGCGTAATTATAGTAGATTCAATATATGTTGACACCATTAATAAACTAGAATAATGTTAAAGTTTAACGGTAAAATATTTATGCCGGACTTTTTGAGAGTTAACGATAAGAGAAACGTATAGCATACCTATTAAACTTCTTCTACCTGAATGCAGAAACCCTACTTTGAAAGATGTCACTTCGCAATCCCGATTGATAATAAATTTGGCATAGATGTAAGGATCAAAGTGCAGCGTGGGCGCACGACCCAATACCGCGGATGGCACATGACTCGCGCAGGCGCATTAGACCTTTTGAGATTGCACTAATGCAATTATCGTTCAATAAAAAATATTCCATATAAATAAAACGTTGCAATGGAATTCTAACAATTTATTTCTATGTATTGTGTACAGTTGTTTACTTCTCATAGATAAACTATCGTCGCTCCGCTACGCGGATATCAAACGGTCATTCAAATTAAGATATTTTCCTATCGTCTCTTTAAATAACATACTCAGATAAACAAATTTAGCACTATTGAGAAATAAGGAATGGCTATTTCGTTTTCAAAAACAAAGCCAACTCGCTAATAGGCACGACGCATTGGCTGTTCAGATTTCAGGATTGAGGTTATGTTATGAAAACTTAAGTTTTCAAGCCGGCTCCAGAAAATAAACATGGCATATTCAGCTTACACAGTCAATGAATAAAGGCGAATATTCCTTGAAAGTTTTGTGTGAAACAAAAACAGAATGGTAACCGAGAATGCGCGCGCATCCGGCATGGCCGCTATCGGACACCTGACTGCCGATACACCTTGACATCCTTACTGAATTACAGCACGAACGTCGGTTACAGGAACTGAAAGATCGACGGGAATCCACATCATAATGAGGGCCTCCACCAAAAAGTTTTAATACTTTGCGCACTTTGCCAAAAAAGTTTGACGCGCATCCGATCAGCTGATTACCAAACTTTTACCGGTGTTTATAGTACGAACGATTTATTTTTCTGACTGAAAACGCGGTCATTTTTGCAACGACGCTATTAGCACTCTTAGTCCGATACAATTTAAATGCGAGATAAATGATCAAGCTAGTTTAGAGGTCACCGGTATGCATCGAATGCACTTCCGTAGTGGGGGGAAGATCAGCTGCCGAGTTGCGTACCTGGACTTGTCTGCCAGCTTAGCCCTCCGACGAACATCTTCCTGCAATATAAACATGATGTTTAGATGCGGAAATCGGCTGAGAAAACTGCATAACGTTAACACTCTCGATACAGACACGTACCCGGGGTCGTTGGGCACCTCGCCGGGGCTGTTAGCGACATCCTGACTTTGGGTATCCATGGAAAAAGCACCGGCGGCGTGGGGCGGGCCGGCGGGCGCACTACGACTACGAACGAGCGACGACGCGGCGGAGACCACTCCCGTAGTCGCTCGGTTACACTACCGACTACCGGCACAAGACTGCCGCCGCGCGGCGCACCCCGCACGCAGCGGCGCCCCCCCGCCCCCGCGCTCCCCCACATCGGCCGCATCGATTCATTCACTCTGTATACAATTATTCATACGAGCGTGGTGATCGCGAGATCGCGCTCAGCACCACCACGTGAGCGCGCGCCACGTGCTCCTCCGCCCGCCGCGCCGTTGCCAGCGCGCCCAACGCCGCCCCACGCACGCCCACCGCTACACATCACGCCTTCAACCCCCCGCGCCACAACTTTTCCACTGCCCTGTCTTGTTTGGCAACTTGTTCCAGCAAAATGCTTATATATGGAATTGAAAAAAAATATAATCGTACGCGCGAATCATTCCACAAAAGGATATAAATATGAATGAATATGAATTTATTATAGATTGAAAATTCTCAACCCGGCGGGACTCGAACCCATCGTCATGCTCTAACGATTATCCTCCCGTCTCATTTATATAAATTCATATTCTCGCACGATGCAATTTCAACCTTACCATTTGAGAACATAGATTCTATGTTCTTCTGTGCAAGAATATCCCGTATAAAATTATATTGCCTAAATTTTAAAAAAGATATTTAATTTATTATTATTACATTAATGTTTAATTTGAAATAAACTTTTAATTTATACAACCTGACATGTTCTCTAGAATGTGAACCGTCGAAAATTATATGCATTATAATTGAATGAAAATGTTTCATTGACATCAACATGACTACGAAGTACCTCACTCTTAATAAATCAGTTTACAATCTGATTCCTAGATATCTCCTAGTCTAATTTTAGTTTCTTCATTTTAAAAATATCTATCATCATGACAAACTGTTTTAAGTAAATAAGATAATAAATAACATTACTCAGCATTTATTAATAGGACGTTGACATATAAGAAACCAGATTTAATACTACAAATTGCAATTCAATCAATTAATTAATATATTTACCGAAATTGTAACAGGAATTATGTATACTAAAAAACAAATTTCACAGTAAAAGTTGAATAACAGTAAAAAACATGTTTAAACAAGAAACGAGTAAAATCTACAAAGTTTTGCTTATTTTTCATTGATTAAGCGGAGGCTCTTAAGAAGCCTTCTAACACAACCGTGTCACAACACCAATAAGTTTTCACGTATTAAAGCAATTTTTAAACACTTAGTATAGAGGAAAATACACAGATGAATAGTTAAAATCTTATTTAGGAGAAGGGAATCTAGATATTACTAGCACGACTACAACACTAATGTAGACACAGCCATATTATAATATAATGACAAGACAAGAAGAAATGCCGGTACACGTTCGTGTGCATCAGGGCACCTTTCTGGGTCCATTTATATATAAAGGTGGATCTAACTTCGCATTCGAAGCCATGACCGCTAGGTATGTAAGCTTCGATACCATATTCAACAAATTACGGTTAACGATGAAGCAAAAACAAAGCTTGGTATCTATTAAGGTAGCTTTACACAATATTAAGGTTACCTTTCGGAGTATTCAGTTTCAGTAAAGCATCGACCAAAATATTAAAGTATTACAAGGAAACATATTTTTTAATTTTCGGTGGTTATCGTTCTTACAGGTACAATTGTGGAATTCGTGATACAATAGTAAAAAATACAATATATGATAATACTGATGGGTTACAGATTGTGTTACGATATATTTATAATTATATTTTAAGCCTTATCTCAAAAGAGTTAAGGTTTAATACTCACATCAAATTTCAGAGATCATATACATATCTATTTCTACAAGTTACACATTCATAAGATAGCCTTACATCTAAGTATTAGCTAAAACATAAAATAAATAAAAAAACAAGCTAAACAATTTTAAGAAGCTGCGCAAAATTGCAAATCCCATTAAAGCATAACACTTAATTGCACGAAAAGCGAAACTCAAATAATTTTCGTTTAAGGCTCTTTTCAGATAACGCTATAATATAATAGCATATAGTTAGCAAATTAAATATAGCTAAGCACGCGTTCATAACTGAGACCACTAGAGGCAGAGTAGCCTAACTGCAATTTTAAGACTTGAGTTATTTATATATTCATAATCTAAAAATGTTAATCTACAAGAACACAGTTACACGAATAATAGTACAAATTCATTTTCGCCTAAGTGTTCCCCTTTTCCTCTTTATTGTAAATCATGTTATAGTTATTAGGCCACTCTGCCTCTAGCAGCCTCAATTTTTGTTCTTTAAACAACAGATGTACGTACTAAATATGCAAAAACTAGTTTACGTTTGAAAATCAACGATTTTAAGTGTCATGTACAGACAAGTAGCTGTAACTTGCCCGTCTCAAGCAAAAGAAATGTTTTCCAGGAATTCAAACCTACACTTACAGTCACGGCTATGCTTAATCACTGAGCCAGAGATTAAACAGTACTCTCGTACTTTATACATCACCATATTAAAGCGATTTCAAGTAATTAAGGAACAAAAAATAACCTTACACTACAAGTATGTGAAGTTTTAATCTCTCATCGGTTACTTTATGATGGAATATTATAACGCATTCTGTAAAGAGCCTTAAAAATCGAGTTAACTCAAATTGTTACAACAGAGTTTGAAAACTGGACGCACATGATTTTTGTTAAAGCTTGAAACTTTATTTAATACTTATCACCATCGCTAGTCTGCAAGCGGATTGTAAAGCTATGTATATAGAATAGGCGCAATATAAAATAGACAGGTACATAATAATTTTTATTGCATTATCATCCTAGAGGTTGTACGTAGACGTAACAACGTATTGAAGATCGAAATTAGGTTACCTACATTTCCTTCGTAGGCGATCTATATAGCAAATTATTTAAAGCAAATATTACTCTTTAAAATATGAAAAATCATAATAATTTCAATAAAACACTTTTAACGGTTTAGAGCGCAAAATATTACTTTTTTACAACTTTTTATAACTACGGCACGGCGTTTAGAATGCTTTGCAGTAGCCGTGGCCACCTAAAGGTTCACCAATATATTTGGCATTTTGAACCGTTAAAAGTGTTTGATTTAAATGTGTCTACTCGCATAAACTATTACACTATTAATAAACAGTCAAAGCAATTGCCACTCATTTGAAAGCAATAAGCTATCAAATCGCTAAATCTAGTATAACATAAGCGTAAACATGATATAATGTAAACAGCACAGCCTCCCAAATACCTAATAGAGAAATAAATTAATAGATAATCTTACACAATCAGTCAAAAATTAAAGCTCAAAGCGGAACACCTTCTCGCGAAACACAATCTTAGATGTATCAATACATTACTTAAATAACTACGAACTAAAATAGCATCTTATTGTATTGAGTTTTCTTACGATATTTAATGAAATACAGTATACACTCTATATACCGCCATTCGGTTAGACTAAAAACTCCCCATAATGTCGGAATCACGTCAATAGTACTCTGAAATAAGACTTGCAGGTAAATGAACTCTATACAGATACGGACTTAAAATGTATTTATACAATATTCCTCGATTATGAATAGAAAATAGAAAATAACGATGACTTGATATTTTTTTTCTGTCTGTTGGTGGTTTTTTCTTGTAAGCCACCACATTCTGAGTTTATACTGTATTTCAATAACAAAAAAACGTATAACAAGAAAACCGTCGAGATTTTCGAAGAAGTCTAGTCACATTAATAAATATGTTTATTAACATATGTTTAATGGAATAAGTAATGATTTATTAATCAATAAAAAAAAAATATTTAACACACCTGAGCATTTTTAACTATCCAAACTTAACATACAATAAACTTGACACAGCAGAAGAAATTCATTCATTGTAACCTTATTTTTCAAGTTTAGGCGGATACTAAGGTGTATATAAAGATAATTTGAAATGGATAAGAATGTTGTTAGCTAACTCACACAATCTACTCAAACTTATTCTAGTTATTCGTAAGCCTAAATAAAAAAATAGTTTTAATAGAATCAGGTAACTTAACGAGGTAGATAATCATTTCGAACAGTCAAAGACTACAGTAGAAAAATAATTGTTGCGTTAAAATGAACGCGAAGACATAAAAATACTTAATTTGCTTATCATCATCAGATTAAGTAGAATTACGAAAACTAAACGTAGAACGCATGCCAAACATTTTTAAACATATGTGAATCCCTGCGCAAGAGTAATGATATACACGAAGCTTGGAATCTTGGTGATGATATAAGTCTACAGCCTTTAACTGTAGCTATTCTCTTTTATACTTATTATATTTTCGCTGAGTGATTACGTGTGACAAAATAAGTAACAATTGTGGTGATCTAAGTAACCATCAATACCGTATGTATAGTGTATTTTTTCTAACTTGGCATTTTTGGTAAAAAACACAGGATATACATGTAAATCGTGATTTTTCTCTGAAAATCGTTAAAACGTCGAGTTAAATAAAAATGAGAACATAACAAGGTCGTCATAAAAGCAATTTTGAATATTGAGGTGACTAGCTCATATATAATCAATATTTCTTTATCCTGTGTCACCTGTGGCAACAACTTTACTATAAAGGTCATAACTAGTTTTCTATGATTTGCAATCGACCATATTTGTTGTGGTCTTTAGCTAAGTAAGAAAAAAATACACTGTACTAAAAACAAAGTATTCCTCTTGCAAAGTTTCGCTATGCATCTGACATTTGCAATATTTCTCACTTAACATTGATGAAAAAAAACTTTTTTACAATAATGTTCGTAAGATTAAATTATTTTGCCCGAAAATATTACTCCACGTTTATCATACAGCGAAAACACATAATTACATCAACCTAACATCAATTTTTACTTGCCTGTACATTATCAGCGGTGGAAGCCAATAACGCAGACAGAGTGGCATGCGTAGCACTCAGATTCCCAGAAGTGGGACACACGATTGTCGACCCCAAATTATTCATCATCCCACTGGATCCAGAGCTGACTATAGTCACGTTCGGTGGTGGAGTGGCTCCGGTCGCGAAACCGGTGGAAAGCACCTTCTGCGTATTGTGCATGATAAAAGACTTGGCTGAGCCCGCGTTGCCCAGGGTCAAAACCTTCTTCAGCATCACAGAGGAGTTACACGCGTTATCTATCATCTCTTTTGCTGTTGCTATCGTATCGAAGTCGTTAATCACTTTCGGAGTCGTGATTGGCTGAACCGTAGTCACATTAAATGATATACCGGAGTTCTGGTTGACGTTTTTGGACATTATGGCGCTTTGCAGGATGTTGGTGTTGGGGAATGACTTAGTTACGTTCACGTACTGAGCTGGTGTTATGATCGTCGCGTTTGAAGTGTGAGTTCCGAAGCCGATTATTGTATTTGCTGTACCCTGGGACATCACTGTGCTGATTGTCCCAGACTTTGTGTTGATTGGAATGCTGAAAATAAGAAATATAACTTTATGCTTTATTATTAGTTGTAATGGCGTCAAATTAACGTCAATATATAATAGGCGAGATCTTTCGTGATTTTTGTAAGCAATTATTTATATAATAAATACAGATGGTACATTGACTCCAGAGGTATGTATTAAGAATATTTTATTTTTATGTACATATCATCTATACCTCTATGGTAATAATAAGAATAATAGTAAATCATAAGAAGACTTATTTTAACAAGACAGTTAATTCAAGCTACTACAATTTAAACCATTAAATATATTAAGCTAAAAAGAAGAGCTGCAACACATACCCTCGAATCATTTGAGATGTGGACCCAGGAATACTCTGTATAGTAACTGTGGCCTGCGGCAAGTGGTGAACAGTTCTCTGCCCCTGTACTGAGCTGCTTGTGTAATAATGCACAGTGTTCCCAGTTATACGGGGCGGTGCTAAATGCGCGACGGGGACGCTATGCACCATCCCACTGGTTGTTGAAGCCACTGTTATACACTTTGTTGTTTGAGTGCCTGAAAACTGTTAAAGCAAATTTGAATACATATAATTAAAAATGGATAACATTAAAAATATTGTGTTTGAAATGCTTCGACTTTATTAAAAATCTAATAATATGTTCAAATGTCAGTTTCGTAATTGTTCACATTTGTTGATTTTATATTACAACACTAAGCTAAGCTTACATTTGTATTGAGTGTGCTTCCTAAGTCAAATTCATCTCCGACCAACGTTATCGAGTCCGGATTAACACCAGTTAGCTTCTCAATGGTTTTCCTTGCATCTGCATCACTCTCAATATTGCCAAGATTACGGCTCAAAAACTCTATATCTGCTTCTAACAAACCATCAACTAAGTTCTCATCATTCTCCGACTTACACAAATCAAACGCATCGTCATTCTCCAATTTAATATCTTCAACTTTAATCGCGTCAACGTTCATATCAACAATATTTTCCACTTTAATTCCATTGGCTTCTAAATCCTCCACTTTGATACCGTCAACTTTCATTTCATCTAGATCTTCCATTTTTATTCCATCTACCTTAATATCATCTATGTCTTCCACTTTAATATCAGCAAAGTCATTATCGTTAGCAACTCCAGCACCATCTGAATTGTTCATATATTGACTTGCGTTAAAATTAGCTGAATCAAAATCATCGTGCGCCTCAATTTTTATATCCTCTATTTTAAACTTATCTTCTTGATTGCTTGTAGTGGGCTGGGGACTGTCGGCACTAGATAAGTCTCCACTAAGAGCCCGTTTTAAAACGTAAGCTTTAATCTTTCTTAACATAAATGGTGGCACTTTGAAACCAGTTAGTTCACCAAGTAGAGGTAATGAGTTATGTTTATATGCATCACTATGGGCTAACTCTTCTATATCTTCAAGAACCTATAAAAGGTAAGTGATGAAGTAAAAAAACTATTTTAATTGGATTCAGATGCAAATGATAGCTCAAATCATCGTTAATTTTATGTTTGTTAGCAGTCTGCTCTCTAACCAACATACAAAGTTAATTTAAAAAAAATTGTAATCTATTTGACAGAAACAATTCTCATGCCAATATCAAGCTTGTAAAAGCCACAAGATCTTATCGACATACCATGATATAAGTTTTACCACCAACTGCATTCACTAGGTTGTGGCTAGCTATCCATTCCTTATCAGCACTGTCGGCAGGATATCGAAGCAGCCCTGCATGTCTAGTGTATAGGCGACCGCGAGCGTTACCTAACCCAAGAACCTTAAAATAAGACAAATGCATTAATTAAAAAAAAACATACATTAACTTATGATTAATTTTAAATATCTTACAATACATTATTTAATTAATTCCATTGAACTATTTCACTTTAAAATTGTAGGAAAATTATTTAATGTCATTAAAAACACCAATTTTAAGAAATTTAATAAATTTGGCAGTTGGCTTTTGAGATAATATCTACACCTCACAATGTTTTTCAGCTCCGCACTTTAAAAATAAGAATTAAAAACTATTTTTCTGTTCTCTATCTATTAATCTGAATTAAAGCATGTATATGTATATTTATTAAGAGCTACAATTACTTACTTTATGAGCATGAGATCCCATTATAAATAAAGTGTCTTGCGTAAGCCTGGCAGGATTCCATTTATCGGGGTCTCTCACAGCTGGTGAAGGAATTGGTGAGGATCGGCCACTATCACTTCCCTCCTCTTGTTTAATTTTTTTAGTTTTCAGATCTGATTCAATTTCCACCTCTTTTCGTTTTTGTGTGGTACACTGTAATATTTTTATGTAAATATTAAAATCAGACAGAAAAAATATAGAACTTTTTTTTTACTTTGGCAATGTTTTCTCTGTTGTGTTTTAGACAGAGTATGTCTAAAATGTTTACCTAGGATGAAGCTGTCTATAATAATGTCATTAAATGTAATAAAAAATTACTGAGTAAAAACATACAGGCGTATATTTGGTAAATTTGTTGTCTAGGTTTTGAGTAGATTCAGCATCAGTGGCTTCTGGTGTAGGCTGGTATACCCGGGGTGGAGTTGTGTACAGTAACCTAGTAGCATCCAGCATTGCACGGCACACTGCTCTCACCTGTTCACATTAAAATATAGAAATACACACCGCACATTAACTGGCAATATTATAAATAAAATAGCTATCATACCTGATCTTCGCTAACTGATTCATCACCGAGATTCAATCTGATGTTATTCACAGCTGGGACGAAAAATTTCTGAAAAAACATTCCATATTTTAGTGAATAATCACATGTTTGACAAAAACATATTTCTGCATCACCCATATACAGACTACTTATGACTACAACAACATACTGTTTGATTATAGGCTTACCTCTAAATACTTTTTAATAACTTGATCTATCTCTCGAGTGACTGAAGATTGAATCGTTTGCCTTAGCATATCAAGAGATTTATTTGCACTTGCTCGGAACTCTGCTATTGGTCTTGAATGTGGTTGAACGGGACCAGGCAAACTGAACCTGCGATGCATAGCCGCCAGAGTATTAATGGCTATTTGTCGTGTAACTGGCTGCTTCTTAAAAAGAAAACACATATATAACTAAAATTATTCTGTTGATACATTTTGAAAAAAGAATGACAGAATCTTAAAGTACCGTTTGCATATTCGTAGACATTCGAATGCTTAAGGTAGGTGCTTGAACACTCCAAGCATTGGTTGAAGCAGCTTCCAAATTAGGGCTACTTGAGCAACTTTCATTGGAATTAACTGTTTTCTGAATCACCATTTTGACAAGATTTTCTGATTGAATATTGTTTTAGCATAATATTCGAATAACTTCCTTCTAATACACCAATTCACTTAACACAATATGAAGAAATAGAAAATATTTGAATGTGCACATCAGTCATATGAGTATCTTAACTTTCTTACAAGAATATAAATAAAATTATCATAAGAATTCATTATTCCAAAATAATCATTCTTTAATTCTCTAAAATAGACACCTATTTGTTTTTAAGTATGATTTAAAATTGGTTGTATGTCTAGGACATTTTGAAATCTTATCCACAATTATGGATTAGATTTTAAAAATTAGAGATGTCAGACGTGAGATGAGTGATCACCGACGACGATTGTAGTTTGTACTGTACAGTGTTGCCATTACATGAATCTTTATAATTTGTTATCTGTCACCGGCTACTGTTTGCCATTCAAACTACTAAAGTAGACAAGTTGTAGTGAGTATTTTAAGTTTTATTTTTACTTACTACATTCGTGATTTACATCACACCATTCGCAAATAACAAGTGTCGTCTGTCGTTTACGGGAAAAGTAAACATTTAAATAAAACAGTTTAAAACGCGAAATATATTAGTTAAACTTATTTACAAATTATTCTTATGAGATGCTCGAAGCAAGCCTTGGGACCCATCCGTAAAGTCGGATCATAGTTCTTAAATATGTGTATCTAATATTTTTCGCATTTTAAACCGTTACAGTGTTTTATTTAAAAAGTAATGTGTGTTTTGGTCGTTAAAAATTAAATCAACCGCGATCCATTGCCCGAATTGCAATAAAATCTAGTTCTTTTAATCCGTTCAATCCCACTCCAAATGACCGAGAATCAGTTAGAACAAAATGAACCATTCAATAAAGGATCCTTTGACCCGTTCAATCTTGAACGACATTTACATGACAACAAATCTTTTTCACATTTGGAATTGCCATATCTATTTTTATTTAACATTCTTCAAGTGGATGTGACGTGTAAATTATAGAATTGGCTTTAGTAAATTAAAATTAACATTTGAATATTGCCTACTATAGTGTGCCTACACAATACAATTTCACTTCCATCGAAGTTAACGTGCTTGCTGTGGTTGTGTAAATCAATAAAATTAGTAAGTATATTTTTTGTTTATTTATAGTATATTAGACGCCTCTACCTGCTACATTTATAATGTATTGTGTTACATTTACGATGTTAATTTCAAAATTGTTTCATGTGAAAAATAGTTTATAATTTCACTTGATATAATTAATGTTATCTTATCTTGATTTTAGAATTTTGTAAGAAGTAGCCTAGTTACCTAGTAAGCTTATTAAAATTAAATAAGATTATATTTTGCTTATATTGTTTCAAAATAAAATATTATATAGCATACATTTTGTCTCTACTGAGAAAGTCTCTTGAACTTTGTACCTACTTATAGCAACCATTTTATAAACCTGCTTCCAAGGTCTTCTAGCTTAGCCAACTAGTATTATAATGACCATTTAACTCAAACTAATATTCATTTTCCAATTAAACTTTATTAATTTGATTTTTTAACTCTTCCATAGTTCTGAAACTGAAGTTTTCAATATTTTATCTTATAGTAAGTTTTAATTTCTTACTATAAACTAAAAAGGTGTAGGTTTAATATTTATAATCATGCATTGTGAATAAACTATACATTGTTATAAGCTTCTCTGACATTAAATTTTATTTCTAGTCTTAACAACATATATTGTTTCATATTGTTCGACTACTAAGTTTAGTAAAATTAATATTTAAAACTTATTATTTTCGAACTATGTTTTGCCTATAAGATATTTTTTTATCTTATTAATCAAAGATAACATACAAAAGAGATAAATTACACTGCTAAAAGTTATTTGATAAACACTTGCACAGTAAATGCTGATAATAATATTTTAAAATGTAATAATATAATTTACTACACCAAGGTTATGTAATCATGAAAGATTTTAACCAAATTCACTATATATACGTATAAACCTTTACCTTGCAAAGGTGATGTTATGATTTAATCGTTAATTTATGCCTACTCAATGAATTTGCATTTAACTACTGTTTTTCACTAATGACATCAAAATGGTCTTGAATTACATATTTAAAATATTTCAGAATCTACAAAATGTCGAAAATAAAGGCTGGACCCGTTGTTGACATCTTGGGAGATGAAATGACCAGAATAATTTGGGATCTGATAAAGAATAAGCTAATCCTACCCTTCTTGGACATTGAATTACATACCTATGACCTGGGTATGGAATATCGTGATGAAACTAACGATCAAGTAACAATTGACTGTGCTAATGCTATTAAGAAGTATAATGTTGGCATAAAGTGTGCCACTATTACTCCAGATGAGAAGAGAGTTGAAGAATTCAATCTTAAAAAAATGTGGAAGAGTCCAAATGGCACAATTCGTAACATTCTTGGTGGAACTGTCTTCAGGGAAGCTATTATTTGCAAAAATATTCCACGTCTTGTGACTGGCTGGGAAAAACCAATAATCATTGGACGTCATGCCCATGCTGATCAATATAAAGCAACAGACTTTGTTGTACCTGGTGAAGGACAGCTGGAACTTATTTTCACCCCACCCTCAGGGGAACCAATCAAGCAGGTTGTTCATGAATTTAAGGGTGCAGGAGTTGCCATAGGTATGTTTAATACGGATGCATCTATTATAGACTTTGCACACTCTTCCTTTAAATATGCGCTAGAAAGGAAATACCCATTGTATTTGAGTACCAAGAACACAATTCTCAAAAAGTATGATGGTCGTTTCAAAGACATTTTCCAAGAAATATATGAAAGAGATTACAAATCTCAATTTGATGCGGCAGGAATTTGGTATGAGCACAGATTAATTGATGACATGGTAGCCTATGCCATGAAATCAGAAGGTGGATTTGTTTGGGCTTGTAAAAATTACGATGGTGATGTTCAGTCTGATTCCGTAGCTCAGGGCTATGGTTCACTCGGTCTTATGACTTCGGTGCTTCTGTGTCCTGATGGGAAGACTGTTGAGGCCGAAGCTGCTCATGGAACAGTAACAAGGCACTACCGTTTCTATCAACAAGGCAAGGAGACATCGACCAATCCTATTGCATCAATTTTCGCCTGGACGAGAGGGCTTTTACATCGTGCTAAGTTAGACAACAACGCCGAATTGAAGAACTTCGCTGAAACTTTGGAAAGTGTTTGCATTGACACAATTGAGTCGGGAGTAATGACAAAAGATCTTGCTATATGTGTTAAGGGTATGAACAATGTTAAGAGAGAGGATTACTATGAAACATTCGCGTTTATGGACAAACTGGCTGAAAACTTATCGAAGAGGCTCGGGAAGTGACTATTTAAGCCACACTTAAGTAGCCTTTGAATTAACCTTTGTAATTTTGTATCGGGATGTATGGTACTTTGTTTTAATCGCATTTATTTATTGTAATCAATTTATGTAATGAACTAATATATTGTCACAATTTTTCACTAAGTAAAATCGATTTTGTTACCAAAAATGTTGTGTTTTTTACCATAGCTACAGTTAGTATGAAAATGCAAATTGATTATAAAACAATGTATTGTGAGTTCTAAGTATTATCTTAACCAGATAGGGTGATCTTTGACCACCCTGGGCTGTAATTGAAGCCAAGGATCACTAATTCAGTTGGATAAGGTGTCAACAACTTTATCATAATATTTTGTTATCAAGTTGTTATTGCATAGCACTAAAATAACTTGCGGTTATGTTGTTTGACATAATAATTTTATCAGTGTGCGATAGAATATTCGTTTATTTTTTTGGTTTAAATCAAATAATTTGTGAATTATTTATTATTATTTTAAACGTGCTTAAGTTTGGCCTCCAGACACACCTCTAAGTACAATAATTTACATAAATACAAATGACTATTGAATTAATTAAAAATTAACGGCTCGTGACCGTTCCTTGAATAATAATCTTTACGAATTAACTTTTCAGATTATCTTGATACTTATTCGTAAACATATACAGGATTTTTTTATTGATAGAAAAGTAGGTGCCAATTTTTTGCTACATAATTTATAGAGGTTATCTGCTTACCTAATCGCGTATTTTAAAATATTTGGTGTTTTGTTGATACAAGTACAAGGTCACGTGAGATTGTTTACTTACACCAATGAAGAAAAGATGTGTAGGTACGTAAAGAGTCAAGGTCTAGCTAGAGTAATCTAGGTTTTGTTAGTTTTCTTACAAATACATGAAAAAATAATGAAGTTATTATCTATCATATTAAATTTCTTATCATATATAATTGGTTTCCTGCTGTTTTCGGATTTTTTTATTTATTTATTTAATAGTACCTAATTGCACATAAATATATACTTTCCACTCTGTTTTGCCGTGCTTCACAAAAACAACCATCACCCATGAGCAACCTTTTGAGTCCACTCGAAGGTGAAACACTAAAGAAACTGACATCTAAAGAAGATGTGCTGTAGACTTATTTTTAGATATTCAAGAGTCCATAGACTGAAACCGAAATGCGATTAAATTTCAGGGTTTTATAAACCTGATTTCCAGAAAAAGTCCAACATTGTTCATAAAAATTTCAAATTGAAAATGAAACTGTTAGACCAGATGGAGTACAAACCCACACCCCTTGTTCATTAGACATACATTGCTGCTATTGGACCAAGGAGCCCGTCAAACACCTTGGGCTAGACTGCTCACACCGATCTTCTGGTTTGCACGATCTACGAGTTAATACATCTTAGTACCATTGTATAAACATTTAATAATGCCCTCTCAAGACACATTCATTTTGTACATAGATACAAAGAAAGTATACCCAGATCATTAATTAAAACACAAAATACCTCAAAATGTATTAGGTACGTTTCGACGCAGATGCACGTCTAAGGCTCATAAGGGTATAATTTTTTTTAGAGACGTAGATCTATGTCACTAACATACGACAGTTTAAAAGAGGAGGGGTCAAATATCAGACCAACGGCGTATTCTGCCGTGCTTTTACTAAGTTTTGTATTTTTAAAGCTTATTTTATGTTGTCTTATTAATAGGTAATTCCTATTATTATTTATTAAATTATGTTTCACTAACTATTGAAAGCAAGAATAGTGAGCCAAAAAGTTTTGGATAACTCTCCTGTACAGCCTTAGCTTCTTCTTCCTTGGTTAAATTTCGGAGGAATACTTCCTATATATTGTGTCAAGTCATCTTCATGACTCAATGGGAATACGTTTCTCCATAGGTACATCGTTAATTATTTTTGGCAGAAATAATTAACATAGGCTAACGTGTGATAACGTCTTATAATTGTCTTGTGACGGACACAGAAATATGCCGAGTCCGTACGCTAATTATACACACACGACTAACCATCACAAGTGGCGTCAAGTGCCTAATCGTACTTTAGACAAAAAATATACTGCATAATTCATTAGTACCAGACTGAATTATTTGCGACTTCACATGTGCCTTATAATTTATTTTAATGTAAACATTTCAATACGGTACGTTACAAAATACGTTAAAAATATATAACAGACCCAATTTTAATTAACAAAATCGCACCGCAATCAAGTGAATATTTACGTAAGGTACACAACTGCGTATTGAATAAGAACAATAATATTAAAAGTCACTCTAAAAGTCATTATAAATAATAATTGACGTAAACCTATTGAGGTAAACTTACTAAGGTAAACAAACGCCTGGAAAAAATGGTATAGCAATATTGACTGGCTACATTACTTGAATGTGATATAGGCAAGTTTGTTTCAGGAACATTAATATTAAAACAGATTTTTTAGAAAAATAAAGTCATTGTCGACTGATTTAACGACAAAGATCATCTTACATGACAAAAAAGAGAGAATATTAAAAAAAGCGAATATTGTTAAAGGATCGTATAAAAATTATTATTATTTTGTTTATAAGGGAATTTAAAATAGATACTGCCTTATGACAGCGAACAAAGATACACACATGATTACTTTGAATTATTATTCATGATTGGTGGTTATTGTCTAGCAGAGTAATATTGCTTCACATTTTTCATTCGTTACGACAATAATAATTGTGTCTGATTAGATTTATAAAGCATTTTTACATTAGCTATTGTCAGTCCCCTCGTGATCATGGCTGCTGCAAAGCATATAAAACGTTGGTTGTAACTCGTAATTAAAATATGGTATTTAAATAAAACACGGGGAGACAGGCTCCGTGTGGCCACGACTGCTGCAAAGCATCCGAAACGTCGGGGCCGAAGTTAAAAATCATTTTCAAATAAGTTTAACTAATATATCGCGTTTTAAACCGTTAGAGTGTTTTATTTAAATGTGTACTTCTCGCGGAAACTATATGGTAACTTAATTATTTTGCAGTTTTAGGCGTTTAAAGTTTTTTTTTAGTTTCAATTAGGAAACTAAACAGATGAATATCGCTTTTGATGTCCAATTATTATTGGACCCGAATAAGTTTTCTTATAGAATGACCGGAGGCAGTTGACGCGGTTTCCCCTATAAGATCGTCCCTCCCGTCTATCTCCCTCGCGTGGAGTACTTCCATTCAGAGACGGTTCGCGAAGCTCGAACCTTCAGTTTAGCGGGCTAAGCGTCGCTATTTAGTTGTGTTGTCAGTCTTTGAAGCATTTGGCGCCAATATATACGACTGGCCGAGTCGCGTTGAAAATATTTAATTGATTTATTTAACTATAGTGGGACTGATCGTGCAATGATGTACTTATACATTTTTTTACGCTGTTTGGCGCTATTATATATGATTCCGGTAAGCTTTTGTTTGATATTTTACAATCATGCACGCGATTCCAAATAAATATAATTAAAATTGTAATAATGTGTTATTTTAAAATTGTTAAATAATTACTATAAATTGCTATTTAAAAATGCAAAGTATGTATATAATTTAATTTGCTTTTACTTTCCTTCGGGATCGGAATCGGGACCGAATACGGTTTGAGTCTTGGTTAAAAACAAGTAACTGTATATGTATACATGTTTTAAACAGTTAACATGTATTTCTAATGTGTATTACTCACACACACTATATAAAAAAAAAGTAAAAACTGTCTATAGTTTACGCGAGTAGTACACATTTAAATAAAACACTCTAACGGTTTAAAACGCGATATATTAGTCTTCCCGCGATCACGGCTGCTGCAAAGCATCCGAAACGTCGGGCTATAGTTAAAAATAGTTGAAATAAGTTTAAGTTGTATATCATGTTTTAAACCGTTAAAGTGTTTTATTTAAAAATAAAAGTAGGTAAATATTGACGCTTTAATGGTATGTATTTAAATGCTTAAAAAACAACAGAAAAATATTTGTTTATATATAACGACATTAAGAATTGAAAGGCACCATTTTATGAAAGACTTTTATAAAAAAAAAACATCGCTCGAAGCGTGTCGATTGATTGCAATAATAACATCCGCAATCACTTGTTCCCTAGCCGTTGTAAACATATCGACTTGGAACAAGGGGACAATTCTAAAAGGGTATACTATTTAAATGTACTTTCATCGCTTCTTTCATCTTGCAGTGATTTAATGATTATTTATCATATTAATTAAATTCCAAGCTCTGATCTTTCTTTTATCGTGACATTAAGAAAAAACGTTATCTATTACGTTGTCGCGATCACTTTATCATTTCATTCTTCTATTTACATAAAACAATTTTGGATTGAAAAAAAAATTAGGACACGGGCAGGACTTGAACCGGCAACCGACTTTTTAATTTAAAATCGAATTTTAATTTAAATAAACCCATCATGTGCAATAACATGTGTAAATATTAAAGTTTTCAAACGCATCGCAACGTATACACGGCATCGTGTGATCATTAAAAAAAAATAGTATTATTTTCTCTTTAGGATTTTTATAAAGAACAAATATACGTCGATATGTTTTTAATTGTTTACTTTGTAATAAAGTGTTAAAATTTTGTCTAATGAAATCTAGCTAGATACGTTTTAAATACTAATAACATATTCTGGACATAACTTACTTTTTTCTTTTTCTTTACGTATGTGCCATACGTATTCTAATTTCACTTCATTCAGGATTGCCCCCAGGCCGCACGACGCCAATTGTTTTCCAACATCTTCAATTGTATCGTGCACACTCGAAGGGCGTTCTTAGATGCAAGAAGAACCGCTACCTCGTCATATCATTTACTTCGCCGCTTGGCTGAACCCAATTACTAACCCGACTTCACATTATGGCTGTTAATAAGCACTCAGATTATGGGGAAGTAGAATATATGCAGATCTCGTCAACTCTAAAGCTTTATATTTACGAAATAAGGCATTTCTATTCCACTCTTAAACTCAAGAATATAAAGACAGCCGCAATGGATAACGATGTCTTGTGTGCGAATCACGGGGACGTATAGTCAATAGTTTCGGTCGAGCTGGACACAGAAGTCTGCCGGTGGAGCTGCATGTATAGGAACTGTATATTTATTTAACTATATAAATTATAAACACCACAGTATTTGTTTTATGAATACAAAAACTTATGAACCAGCTTATAAATAAATGGCGGCCAGGCAATGGTATTATTTTTTCTATGGGTTTTCATTCCATATACACATTGGATCTACTATGGTGAAGATATTAATTATTTTCATATCAACATTTTATGTAGATAAACTACTAGGTTCTTAATTTGATTTAATTATTACTGAATTTGCGATTACATAATCGAATTAAAGATGTTGAAATATTGTTACTTATACGTTTTTAATAAATTCCATTATTAGATCACGTCTTTAAGAATTAGTATATACCAAATGTAATTAAGAGTGGCTGCATATATTATGTATAATAGCACCGGGCGCCCACCCGCTATGCTTCACGGAATTTCGATAAGGTTACACGTAATAGGTTGACGGGCTCGTTGGTGTAATGGTAGCAATGGATGGCAATAACGGGTCATAAATTCAATCCCCACCGGGTCCAACATGCTTCTAATAAATTTATAATTTTTTTGACTCATGTTGGACTTTTGAAAAAAATATTATTTTTTACATGTTATTGCACATGAAGGCACTATACAATTTAGAAATCGAAAATAAATTGAAAAAAATTTCGACTCGGGCAGGACTGGAACCGGCATCGTCAGCTTTCCGTGCTGTTGCTCTGACGCTGAATGCTGACGAAGCCGGTTCCAGTACTACCCGAGTCGAAATTTTTTTCAATTTATTTTCGACTTACATGTTGGACTTCATCTGGATATTAAATGGTTCGTAGGAATATCGAAATTCTGCCCGGGTCACGAATGAAGAAGCCGTGAAGTTTAATCGTGTTTCTATTTCAGTCTGTGGATTTCCGATTATTCAAAGCCAAAATAGGATAACACGTCTTGTTTAGATGTTATATGCCTATTTCACCTACCATCAAGTGAGCTTGCTTGTCTGTCCTCTATAATAAAAAAGTTACATGAAAATGATTCTGTTAGATTCTTGTATCTCGCGTTCGTGGGAATCGTCTCGGATCTCGCAATCAGGGAATGTAGGGAGGGTGCTCAATTACATACGCACTGTTTTTATTGCGATCCTCCACGCCATGAAACCAGCATTAGACGGATCTAAACTTTACGACGTTCTTACGTGCAGTTTCTCCTATGTCATGATTAGGCTTTTTATGTGGTCAGATTGCAGTGTCGATTTCATACAGACGAACATTGAGAGAATTTCTTCTGTTTTTATAACATATTTACTACAGCTACTATAAATATACTCTTCACCCGCGCTTTTGTACGAAAATGGGCTGCAAGAAAAATGTTTGTTTTGATACCTATATTATTTTTCTAATTAAAGAAATTTTGAGACCAAAATTTTGTCACTACATAGACAGTACATACAAATCAGGTAAAATAACCACGTGCTCTTTTCTATTTAAATAAAATACTTGTTTACGCGATATATGTTAGTTAACTTATTTACAATATAATTTGATTACGGCCCGACGTTTTTGGAGACGGGTTGTGAAATTTTATTTCATTTATTTATAGTATCTATCACAGCTGGGCATGGGTAATAACAAAATGACACCGTAAGAACCATTCCTGTATTAAAAACAGTATAAAATAGCATAGAACCTGATTGAGGGATTAAAACAAACAACAAAAAATGTGGTCCTCCGACAGTTATGAAACGTTTTAGAGCTTTTTGTCAAGTGTGCACCGGTGTTGTAACTCGCCAACATATCAAAGAATCCTTTCTCTAACAGCTTTGCATTTTTCCATTAAACGAGAACAAAGATAGGTCCACGTACGAATTTACATCCTTTTGTTTCGACAGCGAGTACCGTATTTTTAACTTTCTGTGATTTACTTTGTATCTTCTACATAATGGTATGTAACTGGCTTTCCAGGGACAGTTATAAAACACACGTCAATTTGTTCGAGCTATTTAATTTTAAACTTTTGTCCCATTATAAGACCCATCACGCTTTTTGATAACCTAGTCGATGGCTTTATATGGTCTCCAAAGAACGGAGATGATAACACCTTCTTCCAACTTCCAGGATCATAGAGAAACTACTACTAATTTTCTAAAGTGTAATTTCGCCTAATCGAGGATTTGAACCCGAAACCTCGTAATCTACAGTCCAGTGCACTATACCAAGTAGACAGTTAGGCGAGCTGATCTGTATTAATTAAAAGACAAAAAATCTCATAAGGTTACCGATTCCATCACAATGACTAAAGCAATTAGATGGTATACGATAAAGAACAAACTGACTAACCTAGAACAGGTATACAATGGGTCCTCTAATAAAAATAGTAAGTAGACCATCCAACAATGGAGAGAGATTTTCAAAATGCTACTTGACAGATTTAGGCCATATCGCACGTCTAAATTAAGGGAAAAAAAACCGTATTCATAGATTTAAATAAATGTTCTAGTATTGTCGCGAGTTATTTTATTTAAATAAATAGATAATAGGATTTAAATAAAACATTTCTCGGTTTAAAACGCGAAATATTTTAATTATATTATGTATTACAATTTATGTAAGCTATATCCGACAAAAGCATCCCTAACGTCGGGCCGTAGTTAAAAATAAATTTCAAACAAGTTTAACTAAAATTTACCGCATTTTAATCCGTTATAGTGTTTTATTTAAAATATAAATTGTTATTCATGCATTGCATCTGATACGTTTATTTTTATAAAATCCTGCTTTAATTGTTTTATTCCAGTGAAAGATATCACGTTTTAAACCGTTAAAGTGTTTTATTTAAAGGTGTACTACTCGCGTAGACTACAAACAGTATTTTACAATTTATCTGGTAATAGCTAAAAATCTACGTTCACCATTATAGAGCATAAAGATCAATAGATTGAGCGCTTTCCTACGAATGAAAAAAACATTTATCTGCAAATGTTTTGTATTAAAACACAATGGCAAGTGTTAGCGTTTCGATTCCCGTATTAAAATTAACAGCACTGTTATTTCACCACTATTTTATTTAAAGGTCTACAATACTAAACTTAAATTACAAGTATAGTTTTAAAAACATATAACTATAGTGTGAAAGTTTGCTTGACCTATAGCTATACATAATATTACTATTTCGTACATACATAAAAGTGTATCTTAATATCGTTATTAAAGGAGTTTCACTATGTATTTAAATACTCTACAATTTCATGGTTAATATTAATCAACAGGTCCTGAGTTCGATCCTCGGCTCCTAGTTGTTTCTAATAAATGTATTATTCTTCTAAAACATGTTAGACTTCGTCTGGAAATCG